TTCTACTGCTCCAGGTCCCCAGTTGCATGCACCTAATCTTAGTCTTGTTTTTAGGTAGCATAAACACCCAGATTAACATTCTGGGAAACATTTCAAAATGCCCCCCCCCCCAAAAAAAAAATCTGTAAACTATAATTGAAGAGTGGTCAAAAATAAGTAATTTAAATAAATAGTAAATAAAAAATATTGGCATTAAATATATAAAAACTGTGTACATAATAATCTTAGCAATATTATATGTGAATACATCAGGACTTCAAGAAAAGTTGATCTAAATTTATAACAAAGCATCCTGTTAAGCCTTGCTAGGAAACAATCAGAAATGACCAGCATATCTGGCAGTATCTGACAGGTGATAAAGAATTATTAGATAAGAATAACATAGACCTAGTTAGAAATTAAGATTGATCTAGTAATTAGTCCAACACTGTAGATATTTACACTGTCCTCCTTCCTTAAAGATATGCTTACCAACTAAACATGAAAAGTCTGAATTGTTGACCACTGAAACAAAAACTTCATACATGACTTCAAATGATATCTGCGTGTACTGTTTAGTCGTACCTAAAAGCAAAAACATCTCATTTAGTATAAAGACTTTAAAGCTCTCTTAGCTAAATTTGGTGCTACCTGAGCACAAATGCATAAACAGGAAACAAAGTGTTATATGCTTCAACATCTAGCAACATGATGAAAACATGATGGTATCTGGAAAGCATTTGTTGTAAGAAGCCAATTCATTATTTATACAGGAAATAATCCGAAATAGGTGAACAGAAATAGTGACCTAGCAACTAATACTAAAAAGTACAGGAGTATCCTGGAAAAAAGGAGAATAGTAGCCTGGCCAATGTTGCTAGGAAAATGAGATTTCTAAAATTCATGCAGATTTCCTTAGTACTGAAAAATTCTAGCTGGAGTCCGTAATGCTTTAAAGCATTATTTTCTTCCATAGATATCTATGGATGCTTTTTTACAGTATAGCTTTTTCCCCAGGCTTGACGTTTTGGAAGATTTAAAATACTTCAGTCTCAGCACTTGAGGAAAGAGCTCTTTAGACCACACTTCCCTCAGTTCTCCTAAAATTGCAGAAAGAACTAGTCCTTTGTGATGTGCTTGCAAAGTGCTCAGCCCTTCAATCTATACTTATGGGAGGCATTCAGCACCACTTAAGCTAAGTATTTTTTTTTTTCCATTAATATTCTGCACTTATTCATGTTGCTAGAAATTTCTGGACATTTCCTAATTCCTGTTAACTTCAGGACATACCTAGCACTAATTTTAGGGAATAAAAACCCACACAGTCATTTGTATATGTTATGCAGCTACAAGTTGCTACTGATACAACTGTGTCATGTAGTTCTTATTTTATGCTCTCATATTCATTTTGATATCATGACGCTTAAATCCATACGCGTTTTGTTGATAATCTGCTAAGGTCACAACTTTTGCACTCAGTTTATGTTGTATTTTGTTCTTGGAAAAGTCAAATTGTCTCAGAGAGCACTTGTGTGTTTTCTGTTGCTTTAGTGCAGTTTTTTATTCAGCAGGGAGGTATGATGTTGCTATGTGTTTGCTGAGCAGACAGGTGTCTTTTTCAGTAAGGTGATGAAAACATTTAATGGAACATTACTTTAGACTGCATCTAAAAGCATAGCCTGCTAAAGCTGGTTACCAGTAGATTATCTTTCTTCCCAAATACTTTCACACAGCACAGTATCTGCTTTAATTTATCCAAGTTTATTTGACTTCTGTCAAAATCAAGAAATTCAAACTCAATTCAGCCAGCTGGTGTTAATGCACAGTAATGCATTATTTAGTTATATAAATCATGGGTTTTTTTCACTCTCTAGAGATAATGAATAGTTTTTATTCAAAGAAGAGTTATTAATTTTGGTTTTGTGGGTTTTTTTTTTTTTTAGAGGGTTCAATATGGAGCTTTAGGCTTTGTTTATAAAATTCTGTTCAAATCCAGCCCTGAAGATACTAATTAGTTTTTTCCTATATCTTTTTTTATGGTACTCACCTCTACAATACCAAGTGTTCCACAAAGATAACAGTTTAATTTCACAATATGCCATCAAATACATGCGAATTTCATAAAATATCACTCTTTTCCAATAATGGTGGGTGCCTAAATCTAGGTTCATATTTTAAAATTGTGTATAACATATGAAAGCTCAACATAATTTCACATCTGACTCCAGAGTCTGAAACAATGAACCTCAGAACATACAACAAACACACGAGTCCCAGATAAATTTTTCCTTAAATTTTCTATTTTATCTTAATGGCAAAGTTGTTATGCTTACACAGAAAATGTATCTGAACTCAAGTTTGAAGATAACCCTTCCTGAAAGGCAGGTTAAAAGTCCTCTCTGCAAGCAGGTATCTGGTTTCCAGGTATTTTCTAGCCCAATGTTTTGGTCATCCAGCTGACACACTAACCATGAGCTGGCTGCCTGAGACTTTGTTTCCAAGGTCATGATTTTTTAAATAAGGCAGGCTAACAGGGTATCCTGCCACCCTCCAATTTCCGTATGAAACAGCTTGTATTTCCAAGACTTTCAGTTTGTTGCTCTACAGCAGCCAACTGAGATGAGACAACCATGGCACACCAGTTTATGGTAGCCTGAAATTTGGCTGATTCAGAGAGAGTGCTTACTCCTCCTGTACTCAGTTGTTTCCAAAGCATAGGGTTGCTAAAACTGAAGTATACCACCTGTCTTCTTTCAGCAATGGGAAAAAACCCTTTTAGCTTTGTGTTTATCGCTGAATCTCTTGGCTCAAGCGGGTAAATAATATTGGCAATATTAATGGAGAGCACCAGCAGACATTTCAGTGGATGGCAAAGACAGAAGGTTGGGATGGGCAGTTTCCAGCTAAGCAGAAAATTTATTAGCAAATATAAATAGAATTTTTTTGGTATTAAATTTAAATAAGTGTCCTGGTTCTGTGTCCCATCCAGAGACATAAATATGTCATCAAACCTACAATATTCTGGACAGGGAAAAAACTTACCAACAGCAACATTTCATTCATTCTCCACTTCTTGATTCATAAGACAAAACACAGAACTTCGAGTTTCATCTAGCCTCTTTATTCTTGTGTCACTTACCACTGTGTCAAGGTTAAATTCTGAAAGTGATGTTTTTTTTTTTCTTTGTTATCTTCTGCTTAAAAAACCTCTCCTGTTTGTGCTGAAATGATCTGAAATCTTCCAAAGCCTTAAGGATAAGCATATTTCAGTCTAGCAGTGAATTCCCAGGCAAAAGAAGAAGCAACTGCAGACACTATGAAGAGAAAATGGTTTATAAATACAAAATCCATGAAAACCAGTGTAGTAATCTTTTAACTGATGCTATTTTTCCCAGCTGCTATTAGTTATTATTTGCTGAAAGTCAAAACGCAGCACTGCACCAGCTACCAAGAAAGAGAAAGATGACTGCCACTGCTAAACCCAGGACATTAGTATAAATATCAAATGTGGTATTTTGTGCATGAACCAAAATTTAAACAAAAGAGAAATATGCAGCATCCTGAGCCAGATTCATTTCTATGTTTTTCTCTGTAAGTGTTTGCAGATTTAATATTTCTACCTGGCCATTTTATGTATAAGATTAGTGAAAGGATATGCATTTTAAGATGTTGTGATTGAAAAAGTAGCTTTGAGAATTATAGCAGCTAAAATGTCCTATTGGTCCATACATTCTTTTACCTTTTCTTTTAACCTATTTTTATCTATTTGTATTTTGTCTGCTCAAAATAAATGTGCAATACAGTTCACTTTGTACTAATAATGAAATTCTATGTGATACGAAACTCGCAATGTATTTTCTTACAGGTGACAATCGTAGCTTGTATTTCATCTTCAGTGAATAATGTCAGATTTCCAAAATATAATCTCAGTCACACATACCTATGTATATGCACACATTTATCTCCCTACATGCATGCATGTATATATATACATTTATAGCTTTCTGTAGATATGGACATGAATAACTAGACCAATACATGTAGTAGTTATTTTTAAGAAATGAACAAAAGCTATATCAATGTACACTGTGGCCTTAGAAACTAGAATGGCTGGGAGGCATTCAGATGAATTACCATTTAAGCAACTAAAAAAAAAGAACATATAATCTATGCTCAAAAATAAATTCAAAACGTAGTTATGATGGATTCCACTGTCTTTGAAGAGCACAGAGGGCTTCTATCAAGAACTAACACAGTCTAAAATGGTCTTCTTTGTTTTAATTAAAAAGTGAACCAAGATAATGGGTCATTGCTTAATTTTCCAGTTTGGAGGCAGAGAAGAGCATGGCATCAGTATTGTCTGGGAACTGTTAAGGTCACTGCCCAGCATCACTTCTTTTACTGAAGAGTGTGTCTCTTAATTTAGGAAAAAGAGCTTAGTTTGTGTTCAGCTAGACTCCTAGAAGTTAAGTTTAGTTGAGCGCTAGCCATAAGATTCAAAACCAGTCACTTTAAAAGTCATATTAAAGTAATGGAAACTTGAAATACAAATGGGAAAAAGTAATAATTTTAATTTCAGGACTGAAAAAGTTAAGGGATACTGTAAGGAAAGTAAATATTAAAGGTAAATGTGAGTTGCAATTTATTAGTAGTAATATTATTTCTGCTGATTTTTCAAAAGAGACCATTTAAAGCAAAGCAAGATTTAAAGTTATGAATATTTTTATTTTATATGAATACTGAGTCTGTGTGACTGGAAGAATCCAAATGAGACTATAAAAATATTAGGTCACGGTAATTAAAGACAGTTTCTTTTAAAAGATGCATCTTTAAGTTAAGCTACTTCCTCTTTAGATTAATAATGAGTGTCTTATTTCTGATATATGACAATGAATTTTAATCTAGAAAATAGACAATAATTGCATTTAAAGAGTTCCACTAAGGCTGCTCATTATCATATTGAGAGCAGAAGTGACAGAAAAGAGCAGAAGAAAAACTAATTTTTGCCTCTTATTTTACAGGAAATGTGTTTGTTGTAAGCCTGGCAGTTGCAGACTTGGTTGTAGCAATCTACCCATATCCACTGGTGCTCACATCTGTATTTCACAATGGATGGAATCTGGGATACCTTCAGTGCCAGATTAGTGGCTTCTTGATGGGCCTAAGTGTCATTGGATCAATCTTCAATATTGCAGGCATCGCTATCAATCGGTACTGCTATATCTGCCACAGTCTCAAATATGACAAGCTGTACAGCAACAAGAATTCATTGTGCTACGTTGTTCTTATCTGGGTCCTAACATTTGTTGCTATCGTGCCCAACCTTTTTGTGGGATCACTGCAGTATGACCCCAGGATTTACTCATGTACATTTGCACAATCAGTGAGCTCAGCATATACAATAGCAGTTGTGTTTTTCCATTTCCTGCTCCCCATAGCCATTGTTACTTTCTGTTACTTGAGAATATGGATCCTTGTTATTCAGGTAAGGCGAAGGGTTAAACCAGATAACAACCCCAGGCTGAGACCACATGACTTTAGAAACTTTGTAACCATGTTTGTGGTATTTGTACTGTTTGCAGTCTGCTGGGCTCCTTTGAACTTTATAGGCCTTGCTGTGGCTATCAACCCAGCCACTGTAATCCCTAGGATTCCAGAGTGGTTGTTTGTAACTAGTTATTACATGGCATATTTCAACAGCTGCCTTAATGCTATAATATATGGACTCCTGAACCAGAACTTCAGAAGAGAATACAAGAGAATTATTGTCAGTTTTTGTACAGCAAAAAATTTTTTCCAGGATAGTTCTAATGATGTGGGAGACAGGATGAAAAGTAAACCTTCTCCATTAATTACGAACAACAATCAAGTGAAGGTGGACTCTGTGTAAAAAGGGGAATCTTATTATTGTCACTCAACAGCATTCAAATAAAGAACTGTTTTATTAGACGTACTGTTAAATATTATAGTGAAATATCTCCTACACTGAAAGCACTTTGATCCAATTTCTTGCATGGTATTTTGAAACTCAAGTTACAGGGACTTGACATGCAGATCCTGTTATACAATGGAACATCTCTTGTATAATAACACAATGATATCCTTGAGGGAATTACAAAGTTATGCATGGATACTTCCTTCTCCATCTCCTCCCCCTTAAATGGAGATAAACAGCTAGAAATAGATTGAAACAGAAGTGTCCACATCACCTGGCTCAATAAAAGAAATCACAAAACTATTCCTACCACTTTCAGCTGCTTTCTGGCCAGGTTGTGGTTCTGATTCTAAAACCTCTGAGAACTTCTTTTAAAAGATGAAATCAGAAATAGATTAGGAAATGTGAAGTGAGAAATCAAGGTAATTGAAAATTCATTAGGATTTTTGACAAGCACCTCTATCTATATTGCTTTGTTCCTAACATGGACATGATTATTAATTTTTTTGAAAATTAAACCCTACCATCCCTCCTAGAAATGGTATTCTTAATTGACTTTTCAGTTTTAAAATAGCTTTTGGGAGGAGAATTATACCTGACTGATTATCTTCGAAGTTACAAGGGCAGGAGGACAAACAGCAAGGAAAGAAAAGAGCCATGATTCATCAGCTCAAGCTGTTTGGGCATGAAAAAATGTGTAGGAGGGTTGGGAAGAGAAATTCAAACCACCATTCTTTCTGGAGAGACAGTAAGTCATAAAATCAGGAAGCGCCCCTGAGGAGTTTCTGGGGAAACACCTCTTAGAAACATAAGCAAGGAAAAACTGTTATTTCTCACCTGTGTACGGTACAGAAGTTCTAAACCTCTGTAAGAAGAATAATGATGCATTTAAGACAAATGGTGCATGAGGATGATAGTTTTGTCTGGCTGGTAGAATCTTAACCTCTTGAAAACTTGGGAAATGAAAAATCTTTACAGAATGAGAATTTAACATCTTTGACACCTGAGAATAGCCTGAGACTATGGGTTATTTTGTAATCTGCCACAGATAAGCTTTTCAAAATAATAATCAGGGGTTTATCGCAATGATGAACAGAGTGTGATAACCTAGAACAATTAGACACTTCTAAAGAGCAGAAAAGAGAAGATGCTACTTATGACCCTGGTACAAGGAGGAACACATGGCTTTTAGAACAGGATTTGCTAAGTGGACTTTCCACAGATAGCAGGCGCCTCTTCATTGAGGGGAAGCGTATACTGTGACGTAAGGAAGAATAGCCAGACAAGCTGTCTGCTGCAACAATATATCCCTGTTTATAATGAAGTGCTCTGGTGGAGAAAAGTGATTCACAACAGAATCCACCTTCAAATTGACCTTAATTTGTTCTGTAAAGATGCTCCAACTGTCGTACCTTTTAATACTCAAGTGTTCATACTTTCACTGATCAAGTACACTTGAGCTTTCCAAGCCAATTTCAAACATTTCAACTGGACTAAGATTTTCTGAATAGTCATCAGAACTTCTGTTATTCTATATTAAAATGTGGTCCTTACCTAAACCGTTTGTTTAAATTATTACTTGATTTACCAGAGATGTTTCTGAGCCTATATATCTTAGAAATCAACAGTCACTCTATGTCATTTCATTCCTTAAACTGCACACAAATCGATCAGCATTTCATCATTCTTGGATCATACCTTGACTTAATAATGAACTAAAAGGGAACAAATTCATATTTACTTGAAAACCCCATTGACACTTTGTCAATTGAGCAGTTTCTTACCTTAAAAACAGGTGCCTCATGCCAAGTTGGGAATGGAACTAACGAGCAACATTGTAAAACCCTGCAAAAGAACTAGAAAGTCAATGTATTGCTGAGGTGCTTGACTCATCTCTGTTTACATTTACCACAGAACCACTGTGTAAATAACCAGCTCTCTTCTGTTGTAGTATCATCATATGATGCGATATGATACAACATGACTAACAGCATAAAGTATATCACAGCTTTCTTCACTGTGATTTCATCCTTGAAGGATACTTAGCTCTGTAATTTTATTGCTTTGTGCGTAGTGATTGCATAGTAGCAAGGGAGTTCTGACCACCTTTGTAAGAAAAGTTTCCATGTAACAAAAAAACACTGTTTAAATTCTTACAAAACTTGCCTTATTTAAAGCATATTTTCAATGAAAATAATGTCTTATGATGCATCTAACAAAGTAGCATAAAGATAGCTTAAGTAGCTTAATTATTAGTAAATTTAGAATTTAGAATTCCTGAAGATCTTTCACTTGCCATTTCCAACAGAAAGTGTACATTTGACATGTCTAAATATATATGAGCCGGTTCAAGATACTGTATCCAATACTATTGGTTATCTGAGGAATCAAAGTCCCCTGTAATTCACAAGTGCTAAAATATATTTTTGATGATGGTAAAAATGGTTTGCTATATACAATAAAACATACTACACCAAAGGTATATATTTTATTGCATAGGCCTGTAATAGAAATGGAGAGCATTTTTCAGAGCTGATATTTTGAAATATTTGTATTGAACCTAATCACAGAAATGTGCATGTTGGTGATGTTATGGGCTGCTAAATAAAGCAATAATTTTAAGAAATTATTGTCTTGTGTTTTTTTTTTTTTTCTGTGGGGAGGGAAGATTTTTAGTCTTTAGAATTTAGTTTAAATGAATATGGTGAAAAATGTGGGTAGTACCTGCTGCCCTCTTCAAATTAATTTTGCATTTACTGCCATTCTGAAGTATATTTAGGTAAGGTTTGCAAAATGACTCATTGCATAAGAATAATGATCTTTAACCCTGCAGTAATGATTTCTTTTAATCAGATTCTCTTGCTTGAAAAGGGTCAAAATGATTCATGTAGGACAATCAGCAGGCTTGTCAGCTGCTCATTGACAATAAGCATGACAGTGTAAGTAAACACCTTACAAGATCAGACTCTTCATGGTCAGCATAGAAATGTCTGATGAAAATGATTGTGATTTCCAACCGCTCTAAGGAGACAAAGTTAGAAACTTACCCCAGATTAGTTGTTTCTTTGCAAGTGGATGAGCCATGACATGACATTAAATTTTCCCTTGTATGAAAGACTACCATGGCACAAATGCTTTCTTTAGAGTTCTGTCTGGAAGTTTTAAACAGTGCACTTGTACTATAGCAGTCATCAGTCCTGGATGGATTTAATTCTAAAACATGAGTCTTAGCAGTCTACCATACCTGCAGGAACCCATCCCTTTCCTACTTCCTATCCATTTCTGGTCTGCAATTTTCCATGACAACTTCTAGAAGTAAATCTCCTTCTCAATTTTCTTTTTTCTGCTTTCCAACCCCAGATAATGTGCTTTTGTTCCCAGTTGTGACCATGCTATCAGCTTGGCTGTCCCTATTCCACCTGTCCAAACCAGTCAACACATGCTCTGATGTACTTGACTTTGAAATGTCCCCGTTCTGCTGTGATCTGTTATGGCCACTTGTGTTTTTAATAGTTTGATACCAGTTAAAGTCTGTCTTACAGACAAATTAAGTACAAATTTCAGTACTACTCATCCTCAAGAATCTAAGATTTAATACAAGCATAACAATTTATAACATGAATAAAACCCCATGGGACTCCATTCTTTAAGTATAATATTTCTATATAATCTTAAAAATAATTTAATTTCTTTTAAATGCTCATGAAACTCATTAATGTCCCCATCCTTTTATCCACATGTCAAGAACCCAGGTTCTGTACTAAGGGAGGAGTTAGTCACTAGAGGAAGACTTGCACTTGAAATCTCCTATGAGCTGTGAATGCCAGGAAGGGAAATCAGATTCAGAGTAGGTATCACTAAGTATTGAATCATTTGCCAAAAATGTCTGCTACCTAAGATTTTATAGAAAGAAATTAGACCTTGTTTCAGGAAAAGGTCAGCAATTACAAATACTAAGGGATCATTCTGGATGTTACTATCAAGCGCCTGGTATGGAAAAAGGGAGCCCATTTTATATATGAAACCAAGATTTTATTGCTAGACTAAATGCTTTAATGGTCTAATAAAAAAAAAATGCAAGTTATTCTTAGTCCAGTTACAATTAAAATATCACTTCAAATCCAGACTATCCAATTACAGAAAATTGTTACTAATGCAATGATTCAAGACATGTATGAATACACATTGAGTATAGTTTTATAAACAAAACATCATAGCATGTACTCCTTTTTCCTGTTTTTTCACTCACACTTCCACGGTACCTCTGGGTCATCTTTGTGCTTACATCTGTTGAGATGAAGAAAAGGCTATAAAGTTTTCTGCAACCCAAAAAAACAGTGAAATCTCCAAGCCTGAAGGAAAGGACCAGCATGGGTGCAGTTTTTCTGTGTGTATATTTGTTTATAGTACTCTTGTTTTTATTCTTAACAGCATGTCCGATAGGAGTAATAGAATAGTCACTCCCTCATCCTACAGGGGGCAGAATTTGAAGCTCATCAATGACAGACCATGGTGAAAAGTTCTATGTTTACTGGGTACTTTTTGTCATGGATGTCCAGGGAACATGAAGGCACATGGTAGCCATTTTGTTACCCCAAATAGTCTTAAAGGTCTTTTACACATATGTCTTCAATTAATTACGAATCTAAGGGCCAGTGAGTAAGTCAGTCTGGTCCTGAATAGGACTCTTCCCATCTCTTCTGTTGTTTCTGATTTACTCCGTCAAGACAGATCTTGCTTTTGATTCACATGTTGCTAGAAAACTGTTGTCTGGAAAAACAGTAATCAAAAGACAAAATCTATCTTACACAATTAATTCACTCCTGTCAGAAACTGATTTCAGAACAATTAGGACAGTATCCTGAAAGAATTAGCTAATCAGTAAGTTTATTAATACAGAAAAGCAACAGATCTTCTCAGAATATTTCCTTAATGTCTAAGTGTTTCCATAATACAGATAATATTACCTAATGAATTATTTCTCAGCAGCAGAATTCAAAGTAAAATAATCTGATTTGTTGTCAAAGAAGCAGCTGAAAAACACTTGTATTGAAACTTGAAATACAGTATGAACAAATCTCCAAAATTATTTTCAAATAATTAGAATAATTTTTCATACTCTTCTTATTTAGGACATTGCTTGCATATAAACAGTAATACACTGATCAGAAAAACAACTGTCACTGTTTTTCACAGATGAGATGTTGAGGAAGGCAGGTCAAGAGACTGTCGAGCATTCTCCTAAATAACTCTGCAGAGTGTCATTGGGTTATGTTTGAGCCAAATACTAGAGATCACAAACTAATCATCTAATCATACTTAAGGGCAGAATGACAATAGTGTGGGCAGATGGAATGAAAAAGTTCCATTTATAGTAGAAATGTAGAAATAAGGAAACTCAGAGCAGTGTCTGTAGCCACATGAAATCATTCTTGAAGAGGAGTTCAGTTTCAGCCTCATCAGTTACATTATTTTTTTTTTTGTTTGGTTTTTTTTTTTCTTCAGAATCACAACTGGTCAGTGTTCCATGATACTGAAAACAGTCATTTAGCATCTGTCTGCAACATTTGTGGTTTCTGTTCTTCCTTCTATTTTGGAAGAAGAAAAAGTTTAAGGAGAACGCTAATAATGCATTCCAAGTATGTTTGAATACAGCTGGGTATACATAATTGTAGGCAGCTATGAAAAGTAAGTTTGCATTCAGTAAAGAATAAGTAACAGCCATAGAGAATGACTAAAACATATGAAAATCATATGTATTATGTTTGTTTTATCAATACCAATTAATAAATCAAGCTATACTGAACTATTGGACTAGCATTTCACCTGTTATTCTACTCTTCATTTCATTCAACCTTGATGCTTTCTAGCTGGTGGAGATATCAACATGAAATTGGGAGTGGACTTGAAATGTGCGTGTATGTGTGTGTGTGTGTGTGTGTGTGTGTGTGTGTGTGTGTGTGTACATGTATGCTCCATGAAGGTGGGATAGAACAATATCTTATAAACTAAACTAGTAGGGCTGCTCATTGTTACCAGTAAGAAAAGAACTGTTAACTGCTGTATGTAGAAAACCAGAAAAGAATGGCTGTACCCTGTTGTGCATGTGCCTTCTCTCTCAGCCTGATTTTCTACGAACTTGTTTCTGCCAGCTTGAGGAGAAGCAAAGTGACCATCACTGGCTACTCTGCAGGCACAACCAGCTTCTCACTCCAGGCTATACCTCCTGATCCAATGTGCTACATTGTTGGGCTTGGTGCTAGCAGAAACTCCTTGAACACTTAGCGCAAAAGCAAAACAACTCTGAAAGGTTTTGCTGGTGTTTATGAAGTTGTGGTTAACATGCACCTCACTAACCTCCTAGTAAAAGCCACTCCTGTCTCATTTTATTGCCTACAAACCCCAGTTCTTTATTAGGCAACCGAAAGCACAATTGCTAACACCGGGAATCAAGGTATTAATGCAGTTGCAAGAGTAGACCCTGTGAATTTTTATTTTCAGGGCTTGCAGCAACAGAAAGTGAATCTAACTGGCAGAATTTCTTTAGTTTTCAGGCATGAAAACTTGGAATTTTCTGACTTTGCTGCTCCTAGAAAGTGAGCATTTTAGCTCTGGTAATGAACTGAAGTAGTACATAAGAAATTTATACTAATCTAACACCATTCCTTCTGTTGAAATTTCCTATTTCACTTCTATGTCAGCACATCTGACAGATAAAGTTTGAATTGGTTGGTATTTGAACAGGACATCTGAATGTAAACTTTTGAAGTGTTACCAGTGAATTTTACCCAGTCATGACAGTCATTTTTGTAATGGAAGGCTGGAGGACACTGTGGTCTCATTCAGATGAAATATATCATCAGGGCATCGCTGTTTGTCTTTTTTTTAAATGGACATGCAATGAAAGAATGGGTAAGTTGTGTTTAAATTCAAGCCTGAGTTGTTATATTCTCCCTGCTTCAAGGTCCCTCCTGTGTTTTAGAGCTAACCCAGTATATTTTCCTTTCATGCACTAAAAATTTGTTCAACATTGATATGCATTGCTACTCCACTGCAACAGGAATTACACTCTTGGGATGGTTATATTTCAGTTAAGCAGCACAAGTCAGAGGCAGCCCAAACTGTTCCTTTAACCAGCCATCAAATACATATATGCTTTTACTTGAAAATAGTGTAAGATAAATTCTCCCTACTCAAATACACACCATTAATTTGATTTCTTTTTGGGGAAAAGTGTTAGACTTAATCAGAATTAAAAGGAATAGACTGCAATGGGTCCTGTGGATCCCTTTGAAAATTGGGATTGCCAGCCCTAATTCTTTAAAAAGGACATGAATCAAACACACAAAAATCTGAGAATGGCATTTTAAAAAAGAAGTGATTTCAAATAATAATAAAAATAGAATACTTCAGTTTGTCTTCCATTTTCAGGTCTTTAAGATGTGATCCTATTCTTACTTTCAATCTTTCCTTAAAACCTGGAGGACTAGACAATTTTTCTTTTCCACTGAAGAGCGATATTGTCCTGTAACTGTAGATGAAAACCACCAAATATTATAATCATGCTGAAATCAGAAGACC